GACACATATTTTCATTTATTTAAAGAGATAATAATATTTAGATACTATTTTATAATCTTAAATTCGGTTAGTTCACTTCAGTAAGTCGTTATCTTCCACTTTTAGAGGTATGAGGGAACAGGGTGGAAAGTTCCTCATCCTCTATAGAAAAGGGAGGATCCTCCAACCAGGCGGGTGTTCGTGCCTGATGGGCTACTGCCCGACGGTTGTTGTCGGGATTGTGCTAATTGCGTTGAAAACTCTTATAACGCGATGGACAATCTTGCACGTGATTGATGCTGTTGTTCTTGTTGTGCGATAGATGTCGCTTCATATAATGATTGTACTGTAGTGTGTATGTATAATTAATTTATTAATTTGCACAGGTTTATTCACTGTAATGTACCCTATTGGTGAGCTTGTTAAACATATAGGTACATATGTTTTAAAAGAGTAACGATAGATTTTATACGCTCGTTCTTTTTCATTCGAATGTCAACTTTGAAACGAGCTCCTAGCTCGTCCCAGCTTCACTGACGAACCAACTGACAGACTGTATTTTATTACGACGTTTCAAAGGGATGACATTCTACTTAATGGTTCAATTGGAAAAAAATATTATGACTTTGACATTGACTGTTCAACCAGAACTCGACTAGTTTCAAGCCAGACTAGGGAACCATAATGATTAAGCAGTACGAGTCTCGATGTCGCGTAGACAACTTAGGTACATTTCGTCGATTGCTGTTCTATTGCATAAAAATAATTTCTCTGACAACATGTTTCTTGTTTCAGATTGTTGTAGCTTATGTGTGTGAATTTATGAAACTAATAACTGCTGTGTTTTACTTCAATTTATTATCAAATGTGGTAAGAATAAGTACTACCTATATGCACTAAGATAGGTTTAAGAATAAATAACAAAACACAATCAAATTGTGGAAATTGCCAGCTGGGATTCTTGCATAGGAAAATATCAAATTTTGTAGAAATTAAAAAGACCCTGCCCAACCTTCTCAAAGATTACAGTTACATTGATTTTTGAATTATAGCTAGCCAATGTTTTTCCAGGTCTTCTCTCAACAAAATTGCTACATTCTTTAAGTCTAAATCAAATTCAATTACAGATTGTTGCAGAGGTAATCGTTTGGATGGTGCAGCTAGCATTTTCTGGCACCCTTATATTAATACCAATGTTCCTAATGGAACTAATGTTCAATAATTTAGACGAGATAAAAATATTGCTAGTTAATCAGTTGTTAATATACAAAGGTAGGTCACTCATTCATATTATAAAGAGGTAAAATTTGTAAGTTTGTATGTAGGGAGTACTCTTTGGAACCCCTGGTCGGATTGCAAAAAATCTTTCACTGATAGATAGCTATGTTCCTGAATGCTATATATAGGCTATAAAACATCACGCTACGATCAAAGGAGCCGAGCAGCGGCTGAAACCGCGCGAGAGTAGCTACTTATATTGGATATTATTGCAGTATACTGACCGGTTTTGAACGTCAAGCTAAATCCCAGTCGCCAGAAGCCTCTGATTTACATATTTAAATGTTTATTTATTCGCAGATAAAACACTACGCATAGCTGTTCACGATGCACTGGAGTATATTGACATTGCTACCTCAAGATACGCATTATGGAACGGATACCCTACGAACATCTCATTAGTTATGAATTTCTTTAATTTGTGTGTTATTTATATTATAGCTACGTTGCAACTTTTGTACTAATTACAGCCTAGCAGATTACTTTAGGTTTTTTGGCCTGTGTGCCTTTTTTTGTCAGGGGAAAATCATCTAATGACTTCTCCCGCCCAGGGTAAGGCGAGAGAGAGTGTCAGACTCTTACTGACTAAAAACCCCCGTTCCTTCTCCTGCTCTGGGCCAAGGTCGCAGTGTCTCATTGGCATTTGTGCCTAAGAAAGAGACTTTATCCTCAAAGAAACTAATAAAAGTGAGAACATGTATTTTAACTAAAACATATAGAATAGCCTGTCGTTCTGACTGTTAGTCTGCTTGTTGAATCAAAAGCTGGTGTAGTTTTTGGTCGGGTGTAAGCAATTATACCGCGGGCTCGGCCCACAGAAGAAGAAGGAACGAAGGAGTTTTTACTCAGTAAGAGTCTGTCACTCACTCTCTTCAACCCAGTCAGAGAGAAGCAATGGGTTTATATCCTCACAAAAAAAAAGAAAACACTGCGCAGTCAGTAGTAATTCATCAAACCTCAGGCGAACGCAGGCGTTTGCACACCTGTTGTTCTTCTGTTGTGTCTCGGATTACCACGATTTAATTGGCTACCTCCCTAGGTCAAAAATAAATTAATTTGACGTTTCTAAACTAACTACAGTTTTATTCATCGATCGATCAATACACAAAATTTTTGATATTTTTCAGCTAATTTTTAAGAAATAAGCAAGCTATTTGTCGCAAAAATTTTATGACTTCATAACTCAATACAAATTTCATAGAAAAGTATCGTTTTTGACATTAGGATAAAAGTATTGAATTTGTCTAGTTGGAAACTACCGTACTGTAATAAAACAAAATGAATAATTTATCACAAATCAATTGTTTAATTATTATTGAATTACATTGTCAACAGTCAATATTATATGTGCTTCACAAATTATAAGCTAGAAGATTTTAATTTACATACATGTATCGCATCAATAATTGTAACATTTATTATAGTCATTTTATTTGATATATTATTATATTTTTAATACAAATGTAATTGAATTGAAATTACAGCATTTTTTGTTAACAAAGAATAACATACTTATATAATTATTATTTTAATTCTTCTGACCAAGCCGGTATTATAAGTTCTGACAATAATACCAGAATAAAAAAAATATTGTACTATTTTTACGCAAAACCAAATAAAAATTAAATTATTCGAATGAAAAATAAATTGTCGCTATCGACAGCAAAAAATAATAATAATTTGTGCTATTGAAATCCACACACATACATCGATCACACAACATACTAAATGTCACAAATACATCAATCAGCTATACAATACGGAAAACACACATACATACATACTTATAATTCTACCAACAGTTCTGTATTATAGAGTATTTGTAATATAGTACATACTTACATACATAAACGAGTAATACATATATTGACATCCATTTATAACACAAAAATCTATATATTTTTGAATATTAACTATCGTGAGACATACTAAATTTAATTATTATGTTTTCGGCTTACTCACGTAAAAATTTGATGAGATACTCGACTAGTTTCAAGCCATGTTAGAGGCCCCTATTCATGAGCAGCATTCCGCGACACGCGACGCGGCGACTGTCGCGCTGCTACTCTAGAATGGCTTGAAACTAGTCGAGTATCTCGTCAAATTATTACGTGAGTAAGATGAAAACATAATAATTAAATTTAGTATGTCTCATACATTGTATCACATCAACATAATAACTAATTAATTTAGAATGTCTCACGATAGTTATAATAAAAACATACAAAATTTATTGATAATACCGATTTACTCACGTGTATTAATTAACTGAGAAAAGCTCAACTAGTTTTAAGTCACAACGGGACTCTTATTCACGGGCAGCGTGCGCGTCGCGGCGATGTCGCGCAGCCAAATGTTGGATGATACAACGCCGGCACATGCACTAACATACTAGAATTTTTTTTCAGTTAATTTACCTTAGTAATTCGTTATTTTCAATATACAAAAATCGATCGCCAAATTTGGTTAAAAAATAATGATATGTTTAAAATTACAAAATCAAAACAGTTTTCTTTAGTTCTACAATAGCTTTTTAGCTGCTTCGCCGGCTTTTATTGGTTAAAAGTAACTGTGTGGTATCCCAGATCTATACCTGTGCCAGTTTTGATCAACATCCATATAGCAGTTTTTATGCAAAAGCGTCAGAAACATAAATCCATCCCTAGATACAAACTTTCACGCTTATAATATTAGAAGGTAGGACAGGAGGGGGAAACAAAATATAATCTATAATTTATTTTTATGGACTAACAAGTACATCAGGAATGTAATTATGACTAGAGCAGTTATATTTTTTTATCAAATAATAATATATTTATAGTTTACGTTTCATTATTTTTATTATAGATATTTATTTATATTACAATGATATATTTACTTCATATACTACTTACAATAATTTGAAAGAATTAGGCATTGTTATACATAAAATAATCAATAATATTATATATTTTTTACCAATTACATTCAGTCCAATTTAACCTTTCTGTAATAAATAATGTATTAATTTAAATAAGGAATTATAATTTGATATATAAATTATACAATTCCATTGATGTGTTTATAAATTATAAATATAAAACAGTTACGAATTTTGATTAAGATTATTTATTATTTAAATTTGTTAAAATAATAAGTACCTGCCGCAAATGATTTTAATTAGCAATGGTCCCTTAAAATAACAGACTAGACAACATTTTGTTATACAATTATTATAATCTAATAGCTGCCGAATTATCGTCGTAAATATATTTGTGAATATCTTATTTTACTAATGGAACCTACTATAGCAAAAATAACAAAGATTTTTTTATAAGTAAACTTAAAATATAGTCATATTATTTATTAGATATAATATTATATTATTATAAAACTTGTTATAAACGGTTACCTATACGAATGATAATTATATTAAGTTATTACAATAGTATACTATACAAGTATTAGGGAACAAAGCTGATTTTTACATTAGATATATTTAAAATATAGGTTTAAAGAATTTTATATGGGGTTTTAAAAAAATATAGGTTTATTTTTTTTTGGATATTTGGCATGTATTTATTGTAAAGGTTGTCACTTATAAATATGAATCAATTATTATTAATAACAAATTAAATTCTCTTTTACGTCTTTATCGTAAATTTATTATTTTATTTACTTAAACTTAAAAGCTTGACTAGTGTGACTTAGAATAAACATAAAATATTAATGTTGGAATACCTTAAGGTAAAAATATTTAGGTATGTAAATTAAAACTAATACTTCAAGTATGTCATTCAATAAATGCAATATGTGACTAGAAGAAAATACAGAGTCGCATTCAAAAGATAATTTCTTTAGTTTCTCTAAATACCCACTAGAAAACAGAATAATAGCCTTTATTGGTTTTATTTGGTTTCTTCCTTTCTTTGGTTATTTATTTGTGCTTTTCGTTAGAAATGACATTCAAGACTATGATCATTACCCTACAAAGCTAAAAACTGTTGATATGAACAATAACGACATTCAGTTTACTGTTTGACAAGCTAACCCGACTAGTTTCTAGCCACGCTAGAACTCATAGTCACGAAACGAGTCGAGTCAACTCGTCGAAAACTTATATGAGTAAGCCGTTAAATATATTTAGAGCCTGTTTCACAATGTCTAAAAAGCCCCTATGTACAGTATAAATTTGAATAGCGAACGTAATTTGTATAATCTATGTATGTTCCACATCAGTTTATAGAGAACTTATATGAAGGTGGTTAAATAGGCGCTTATTATATAAGGAATTAAGACTATAAACCCGTGGCAAGACTTTTAGTTACGCACCTACCTTAAACTAAGCGGTATTAAGGAGAATCATCCAATACTTTGAAGGGAATGCTTAAATTGTAATAACTTGCTTAAATTAGTGAAGACCAAATCTTGAGGGTTGGATATGATGAAGTACACCAGACCTAATATCGATAGGACTGCGCGCCATATTGAAAAATGCGTCCAAGTGTGGTAGAACGTTGGTATTGTTGGCTGAAAATTAATTAAAAATATATTAGTTCATTTTATTCATCGAATAGTCAGAATAGATAAAAAAAACATAGATTTTCATTTCGAATCCTGCCATCAAAGCTTGTTTCAGTAATAATTTCTAAATTGGGGTGACCAATTTTAGATTAATTTAAAACTTATAAATATAACAATAATAAACATTTCTCTATGACATGAAATGTCTTACCACGTCACATATCTATCAGTTAAATACAACTCGTGAATTATAATTCATTTATCAAATTACTGTTTTGTTATGGAAATACAGTTTTGTTAGTGGGAGAGCCATAGTTTACCATCACCGCGGGCTCATTGATACCGATGTGCAACACCATACAACTTTTGCTCCGCCGTGTGAGTGAGGTTACCGAAGGTACAATCCTTCTTTCCTTCTTCACTCCCTTAATATCGAAAAGGTCCACCACGCACTCGTAATTCTTCTGTGTTGCGGGTGTCCATGGTCAACACCGATTGCTTACCATCAGGTAATCCGTCTGCTCGTTTACCCTACTATTCCATTAAAAGTACTTATAAATAAGTAAAAACTCACAGTAGTAACGTTGCTTGTGATATTGTTGACTAACGGTGCGTACTGGTAGACCATCAGCTCATCATACATCCTGGCTGCAGTACAGACTAGCAGACACGCTGTGTATAGCATCACCAGGACTATAGGTTGGAAGTACGGCTGCAGACCTCTGGTCAGGTCTAAACTAGTCACATCCAATCTGGAATATGAAACATACTGCATTTAGCTACATATTGAAGAAGATATCTTAAACATATTGATTTACAAAAACATTTATATTATAATTATGAAAATTATAAGAAGAAAATATCTCAAATATGCCTACTGTCCAATTAGTTTTGATTCTACAGGCCTTTTTCAAAATTGAAGGATGCTGATTCTATTTAAACCAACAACCTAAAAAGGTTTTCAAGGCTATTAGAGACTAACTCATTGTTCGACTCATTATTATTATTTATTAGCAGCTCGCCAATAACAAAAAGGCCACTTGTCACAACCTTCTTATCTACTTTTCCTATATTTTCTTTTTCTATAAGAACCTTCTCCTGACCATAACAAACATGAAGAAATAAAGAATTAGCAAAATTGGTCCAGGCGCTGTTGAGTTACGCGCTTACCAACATATTTTGACATTCATTTTTATATAATTATACTAGCAGACCCTGCCACGCGTTGCTGTTGCTAAGGTAAATAATATTGTGACTATAAATTGAGATGTAAGCTATTCTATCTTTCAAGTTGGATCAAAATGCACACGGAATGCAAATTAAATTTAAAATCGGTTTAGTAGTTTAGGAGTCCATCGCGGACAAACACGAGGTATTATAGGTATAGATTTTTTTACAGGCCGACATACTGCCTTCTTTCAGCCTTCGGCAATGCAAAGACGAAAGTGACAGGTGATAAAACATATTATAACTTATCGATCATAAGAACAATAACAAAAAATCCATAGGTCAATCCTGATAAAACCTTATTTTATATTCAAATCAAATCAAATCAAAATCATTTATTCCAACTAAACCATAAATAGGTACTTTTGAAACGTCAAAATAGAATAGTAGTCTGTCAGTCGGTTCGTCAGGAAAGCTAGGTGCTCGTTCCAAATTGTAGTTTCGAATGGAGAAGAACGAGCAAGAAACTCCATCGTTACTCTTTTTAAAAAAAGATTTGTTTTACAATTCACCAATAATACATTTTTTATACATTACTGTACACCCCTATGTGAGAACAATGCAGAGACAATATATAGATAGAGATATAGATATTATAATTGTTTAGTTAAAACATAATAAAAACTCACCTATCCAACACAGATAATAGACACAGAACGCAAAAGAAATAATAAGTAGCGACGTAAGGCATGGTGACGACTGCATGAAACGAGAGATGTCCAGCATCTAATCCATCGGAGTAGCTGATGAGGAGTAGGTGCATCAATGAGAGACCTCCCAGCACTCCGTGGCAAGCTGGAGCCGAGGAACGCCAGGCTTTTTGTAATGTTAATGCCACGTCTAAAGGAGTTAAGTCGCCCAGTCTGAAATGGGAAACCAAAAAGAAAATCTAAGTTATAATTAGTTATATTAAATGCCCTACTTTCTTTACTATGCAATTTTTTTTGTATCGGTTCGGAGGGCTAATGAGGTAACGGACTGCCTGACGGCAAGCAATCGACGTCGCCCAAAGTCACCCGCAACACCAAAGGAGGTGAATGTGCGTTGCCGGACTTTTGAAGGTTGTTAGGAATCCAACTATAAGGCCTATTAACAAAAAAATCTGTGTTTCATTGTTGATTCATCCCCAAGGATAGGCGGAGGTCGCGAATTGGACTTCCGATAATCACAAATAATTAATTTAATATACTAAACTACGAAATTCTGAATTAAACAACTTGATAGAATCATGATGTTTTATATTCCGATCATTTCATGTGTTAAAAAGCATTAAAATTTTGATCACTCACCTTAAATACTTATCACCGTCTCTTGATTGTTGAGACTCCAATATTCTATCTCTGGAAACCGCTCTAAAAGTCCCACCACCCTGGAGGTATATCTTCTCCGGTCTACGAGACCCAAATGGATCCAGTCTCTCATCATTGGGTGAAGTCAGGGGTGATGGTGATGAGAATGGATTGTCAATGTACTGGTCATGATAAGGCATACTGGACTCTAGAGACTCCAACATGGTTGTCAAGTCTGTTGGGCGTACTGAAAATTTAATATTTATTTGTCTTCATTTTACAAAATAAATATTTTTTTTTTAATTGTATATTTGTAATAAGAACTCTTTATTTTCAGACTGATCACAGGATACCAGGGATTAATCAATATACAAAAATAACCAAAGTGGGCTTAACAAGTGATGCATTAATAAATTAACTGTAGTATTGAAGTTGTAAGAGTTAAGACTATGATAATATTTAAATAAAAATCTTGGAAATTGTCTTTTTGCATCGATCACTAATAAAGAATATGTTGTTATGTTCTTTATTAGTGATCAATGTTTTTTTGTTATAAAAATTCAATTTTTATGTAACAAATAATCTCCCGTAATCAATTCAGTAACAAATTATCATAAATATCTGAGAGCACTCTGATGGCAAATAAAAAATTTATAAAATTGAGGTGAATATAAGGACATTTTTAATTTTTATTAATTGTGTACAACCAATTATAATTATATGTACTTAACTCTTTTATCTATAATAACTATAAATAAATATCAATGAAATTACCTGGCTTTGTCCCGGTTTTATTCTTAGTACTCTTAAACACTTTAGGGCTGACATCTCGTCCGTTGGCACTGCTGTCCTGTCTCTCCTCCCTAACTTTCCTTCTGGTCTTCCGAGGCTTATTACGTAGTTCCTTAGATATACCATTATTGTTCTCCACATCGTTCATCTCAATCTCTAGTTCTCCGCTTAGAGTTACCACTTCATCTCTTTTGTACTCTTTGAGGTAGTCATCCACCTGTAGCGGAAAAGAAGGTATCTTATTTAAATATGAATGGTTAAATAGATAATTAATTTACGGCAATCTAATTATTTTTCTAGTTTTAATAATACATATGTATTCATTTACAAAATAAATTTCAAAAACTAAGTAATATGTAAAATACTATTGTAGAAGCAAATGCATGCTTTTAGTATTTCGTTTTATTTTTCTGTTGACATGTGTTATATTACTTAGTTTGAAAAACACAGAAACATGAAACAGACTTAGAATTTTTTGTTTTTTTTTATCACAGAATTAATGCACATAAGACAAGTAATGTATAAGTACTTTTTTTCATAAATAACAACTGATTTAACAAGATATTTAATTTATGTTATTTTTGACATTTAAAATCTTTTAATGAAATTGCCAGATATTTCCTAAGCTTATGTTTTTAAATTTAGCATAATAGGTACATATGCCATAAACCTCATTGCATTCATTGAGAAGGATTTTACAGAAAGTAATTCAAAATATTGCAAATAACAGGACATTTTGTATAAAACATGTAAATAGACTAGAGAGGATGACCGGCACAAAATGCTTCTAGCATTAAGTCCTCCGCAAACATGCAATTGTATATGAATAATAAATAAGTAAATAGACTTTAATTAGAAAAAAATATTAAATATGAATCTCTGGATGATTACCAGTTATGTTGTGCAGTTTCAAGTAAACATTTTTACATAATAATCATATTATTCTGTTCATAATTACAAACTGTTATACCTTTTACTAAAATCAACAACTTACCCTTTCCAAGGCACTAAGACTAGACCCAGGTATATCAAAATCATGTAGATCTCTATCCCGATGTCTTGAAGAATGCCGTTTCTTTTTACGATATGAAGGGCTCCGCTTTTCCTTATGACCACTCGAAGGTCTAGACAAAGTCTTCATAAACTTCTCATCCATATGATTAGGATCATGGGAATAGAACACAAATGACGGGTTCTTGTCCGAATTTTTCAACTCTTTTTCAACAAAACCAAGAATTCCTTGTTTAATTTGATCATGGATTGGTAGTTCCGTGTCGAGGGATTCGTGTTCAGATTTAATCCAACTGTCTCGTTTCGATTTATCACCGGTAGGTTCTTCGGAGACCGGAGTTTCATCGGGAACTGCATGACCATTTGACATTTTTCGCGAACCCGACCGACTTCGTGATCTTTTTGATTTCTGTATTGGAGACGGTGAGCGAGCAGACGTATGCACTTCTGCTATCTCCTCCTTAACATCTACACTCTTTCCAGGCTTCATTTTTTAATATTGTCACTAAAAACCCACTCGATTTGTGCGAAAATTTAATATTTTTTTATTGACAAAAGATTTGCATGACATGCATTGTAAACTGCTGCAAATAAAAGAAAACAACACTAACTTTTCGTTAAACTTTCTTTCTAACACATTGTCGTGTTTATTTTTGCTATAATAATATTTAATTTCAGAAACTAAAAACAAAGATTCTCCACCAAAATGTCAAATGTCAACACTGATGACGTCATTGTGACGTCAGCGGGCCTACGCAATTTATTACGTTTCGTTTAACACAATTACTTATTACAAATTCCGTACTGATTGATTTTGATGAGTTTTAATTCAATGATAAATATGTGAATATCAAAGCTAGGCTCTCATTTATAAACAAATAGAAATAACGAAAAAAATATTTTTCAACCTTTTATACCATGATACTCAAGATGGCCAACAGATGGCGTGATATGAAGACTTATGATCGACGCGACTTCTATGTTTATACCTAGTTACCTACAAATTATAATACTATATTGTAATATTATGTCCCTATTGATTATCTTCCAAGATTATTAATATGTCTAGATAGAGCGTCAAGTGCGCGCAAACGTGTCAAAAAGTGTCGGCCAATGGTTGGCCACCAGGTGATTACCCGCCGATCAGTACATATCGTGTCGCTTTATTGTCACTACGCATTACGCGCGCTAAGAAAAAAAACTAATAACAGCGATAAAATGACGGTATGTGCTATAAAAGTGTGCCGGAATTATAAAGGAAGGGCAAAAAATACCAAACAAATCACCTATCATCAGTAAGTAGCCAAGAAAATTAGGTAGTAGGTACATATTTTTTATTTTTATGCTTACCAAATGACGCCATTTTTTTCGTTTTATCAGTGTTGCCAGTTTCTGTTTTTCATTCTCCCAACTTAACGTCATTTTTGTGGGTAAATATTAGTTTGTTTATGGTAACGCTTACACAATTTCGTTCATGTACTTTTTAAAGTTTTACGCGTCAAATGCAAATTGAACTCGAGTGCAAAGGGTTCCCAACTAAAACATTTTTTTAATATCACTTTTTAAATCGTATATTTTCCTGGAATCTATGGGTATATATTATCTGTAGTATATATTCTTAATTTTAGGCCTATTAATTTCGGAGATAAGGCGGTAAATTATATAATAACTTCTGAACAGATTTTTTATTACCCGACTTCCAAGAAGAGTTAGGTTTTTTTTCTCGCGTATATCCTACTAATAATACTAAATGCGAAAGTTTGATGTTTGTTACTTCTTAACGCAAAAACTGCTGAACCGATTTTGATGAAACTTAGCACTAATATAGCTTATACATCAGAATAACATATAGGCTACTTTTTATACGGGTGCGCGATGTAGTTCCCTCGGGATGCGAGTAGAACCGTGAGAAACAACTAGTCGTGTATATGTATGAGCGTAATATTCTTTATTACCTCATATTTTTGAAACGACCCAATTGATTTCGACAGTCAGGGTATCGTTGGAATTGTCTCAATTACCCAAGTATTCTTAGATATGTGACCTCAAAGAATAACCAATAAGGTGACTACCTTATTGGTTATTGAAATAATATGAATTGAAATATATCGATAGGCAATTATGAGGCGCCATAGATTGAAATAAAAAAAAAACTTGTTTGCTACAATGTGGGTATTAAATTAAAGGGCTCTTCATAGGGATTCTATAATGATTATCATATTAAAAATAATTATTCTCTTTGCAATACGATTTTTACTGTCCATTTTAGTAATAAATAATTAATAGTATGAAATCATAGATTTAACCTCCATTTTTATTCCTCGGATAATTTTTTTTTGACTTTCCAATAATCAGCCACTATCTAACATATCGAATATTATTTGATTAGTAATATATGGTGATTAACATAAAATCTCTTTTTTTTTAAGAATACCAAGTAATCCTATTATTAGGAATCAATGGATAGACCGTATTAGAAAAAGCCGCGGAGAAGCCACATGGAAACCAACAAAAACTACCGTAGTATGTTCCGATCACTTCCGCAGCAAGGACATACATAGTGTCGACAAAACAGGGCGCCGAAGACTTACAAAGGAAGCAGTGCCAAGAAAGGTGAATTTTTCTTTAAACTTATAAAATCATTCGTGCTCGACGCCATCCACCACGAGCTACACCCGCGTTAGTGCACTGACATAAGGTTCAGAATTGCGTCTGCAACGATCGCGCCCGCTCATGAATTGCCAAACTTTAAAACTTTATTTAAACTTGTTTGGTATCGAAATTTTGCTTTGAAAAAACGTTAATATTAATTAATTGTTACGAATATTTTAGAGTAATTTTGAAACATGTACTGTAACTTTCTCATAATCTCAAAAATAGGCCTTTTTAGAGGTGTTTTTGAAATTAATTATGATCGAGCTAAATTTTCACTATCGTGTTTTTGTATTGACAAAATCTATACTCGGAATTTTAATTCCATTCCAGATTTGACAATTTCAGTGTTGCAACGTTGTGACACGTACTAAATAGTGACGTTGCGAAATTATTCGATAAGGAAAACGATTTTTTCTGAATCGATCCCTCTCGTTTATAAATTTACTCTCGTAAACTAAGTTGATTAGGAAATAAAATATTTCTGAACCGATAATTTAGTTTTGACAATCAATTAACGATCTGAGACTTTTCTTCTGTAATTGTGTGTGAAATTAATAAAAAATGTGATCATAAAGGAACATGACAAATAAAACAGACATTTTATAAATTGTCGTCGTCATCGCTATCGCTATCGCTGTTACTTTCTGTAACATTTATATGAATTGTGTCTGTGATATTTATTGTCAATTAACATATCTAGCTTATTCGTTTTTTCCTTTTCTTTGACAACATGGGATACGCATTTAGAGCATTTGGTAGCCGTAATTTTTTGAATGCCTTCCTGAAACTGATTCACTGATTGTTTATCAATTTTTGTGTTCATCACTGCACTGTTTTTTGTGGTATCATTACATAAAAAAAATTACAGTAGGTCATGTCAAATCAGGAATCGAATTAAAATTCTGACTATAGATAAAGATATCAATTTACTTACATATCACATCCTTCGGTCAACTCCTAGTCTCGCTAGCTCGTAGTCCTATAATATTCCAAGGGAAATAGCAATTAAGGTGTCCTCTTAATTAATGTTTATTTACCTACTTTTTTCTTACAGGCATTATTTTTATCATCAGTACAGTCCAGCGAAAGTGAGGATTCTGATGGTATTGAGTTAGCAGAGGTAATTTTAAATGATTTTTTTAATCCTTTTATAATTTACGTTCATGTACATCAAGCCATATAACCCCAGTCTTGGATTTGCTTTATATTCTTTCTACAAATTGAACTCAGCTTTAATTTTGATGCTTGATGTGCAGCCATGTGTACCTACCTACAGATTCTTAGTCTTCTTGTTTTTCACGTTTTGGTTTTCGATTTAAAGCTACAATTGTGGTATTCGAAGAACTATGTCCAGTCGCTCATCAAGCTACTATAATCTGTCAAATTTCTTTAATGAATCGCATTAAAGTTTGACAGATTATCTCTAAAACATATAGTTCAATTTTGAATGGCAAAATTTCACAAATTCGGGTTCACCCGCAGACAACCTTATATGTATGGTTATAACTTAAAATCGCGGCTTACTCACGTCTATATTGAGAAAAGCTCTACTAGTTTCGAACCACAGAGGGGTTCTTCCTCATGAACAACGTGCGCGTACGCGGCGACGTCGCGCAACTTTTTTTTTATTTATTTATTTATTTATTTATTTATTTATTTAACCTACTCACGTATTTATTCTCACGATTTTAAGTTAATTTAGTATGTGTCACGATAGTTATTATATAAACATGTATGGTTTTATTTTCAGAAATCTAATTCTAATGAGGCTGGACCTTCCGGTACACAATCTACTGATAATGATTTAAATATCAATGATACCGACCAAGTACCTAACAATGGTCAATCCGATGCAACAATCAATGACGAAATAGTAGAATTGCAAAATAAAACTGAATTAGATGAAGAGAATTCATTTTCAGATCTTGATTATATTTTCGATACTCCAAAGGAAGCTAAGTTAAGACGTGACTTAAGGCGGAAAATAGAGCTGGAAAGAAAGCATTGCTTAAAAATTAAATCTCTTAGGCAAAAAAACTTACGGCTAAAAAAGAAGATTGCATCATTAAAACAAATGATGGAAACACTAAAAAAAGAGCGATATTGACAACGATGTATAGAATAGCTTAAGAACTAATGTATTTGCTGTAGACTTGTACATGAATATGAAAAAAAAAAATTGAAAGGAAGTGCCAAGAGACCTGTTACAAAATATGCTCCAGAATTCAGGAAGTTTTGTTTGACCTTACATTTTTATTCACCAAAAACGTATAATTATGTTAGAACAAAGTTCGAAAGTTGCCTTCCTCATCCAAACACAATATCAAAATGGTATTCAAGTGTTAATGGTTCACCTGGTTTGACAGAGGACGCATTTAAGATATTGAAGGCTAAAAGAGCTCAATCGGATAAAATATGTTTTTTTTTTCAAAACGTTTCCCCACATTAGGATTTTCTCCTGTGTCGTGGGTGCGTTTACAAACATACAATGTCACATGCACATCACACCCAGACCCGGAACAACAATCTGTGGATCACGCAAAGACTTGTTCCGTGCGGGAATCGAACCCGCGACACGTTGCGCGGCAGCCAGTTGCCCAGCCACTGCGCCAACCGTGCAGTCAAAAATTTGTGCACTAATACCTGACGAGATGGCAATTAGACAGCAAAAGTGTTTTAACAAAAAGACTTTACAAGATGAGGGTAATGTAGTTACAGGGAGTGGCCCTAATAAAAATAAAAATATTAAAGCTTCCGAGGCACACTTTTTTTGTTTTAGTGTCTTTGAACGAACCCTGGAAGTTACCGATAGCTTATTTTTTAATTCACGGAATGAATGGCGAACAAAATGCCAATATAATAACCACTATAATGAAGAACTTTGTAGGTGGCGTTAGTTATTTTGCAGTAGAATCGGCTCATGTTTGCCGTGTACTACATCAAGTAAATTTAATGAGACTGGTCGTGGAAAAGTATTTTGAGATAAGGTACCACCACAAATTAAAATTAGATAATGTTAATAGTAACGCAGCTTCTAAGCGAAAACTTTTCAAAAAACAAATACAAAGAGATGGTCATTGACTTTGGTTTTGTTTTATTTTACACGACCGATCGCCTAAGTCTTTGTTAAACTTGTTTATTAAAATGCATTCCTAATATATACATGTGATCTTTCATTTTAATTTTCCAATACTATCTAATATATTAAATTATATTATTGCGACACCTTTTCCCCGACGCTTTATTACCCGTGACGACGGTCAGTGTAATTCGGCCGAAACGTCACGTTGGGTAAAGAAAAATGTATGTTACCATATCAGTAATATGTATAATATTGCGAATAAGTCCCGATTTATACAGATATTGTAATACTTGTATAATTTACTTAATTGATTTAATTACCACATTCTACCACCCAATTTTAATTAAATAAGTGTCTTTAATTTATTTAAAACAGTAACGACTTTATAAAAATACACTAAAACTGAATAACACAGTACATACATACAACCCTAAACTTTTTTATTTATTCTATTTTTAATGTTATTTATGGGAGAATTTGTAATAGCTGGTATCATTATTCCGTATTATTTACGCACACAAAGACATATAGACGCGCAGTGTAAAACGACGCCTGCACGCACACATGCTTGAAATAGTTTACCTACTCGTTTTCTTTGTCATGATTGTAGGGCGACGCTCCATCTAGACATATTAATAATCAAAGATTATCTTATGACATACGTTGGTACGCCAAGATTAGCTGTGCCAAATTTAATTAAAAATAATAAGTTAATCACTAAATTGTTAAAATTATTACTTAAACAAGGAGCATATTAATACTTACCTACTTGTTTTAAGTAACTATTTCTCTTCTATTTCTTAGATTTATCGAAAAAATAAGTTGTATTATTTTGTGTGAGAATAAAAAAAAACATCTAATAGGTAATATGACGTAACCCAACCAAGTAGGTACCTACGTACTTCTTCGGATATTTCGACCCCGACGCCCGGAGTCTCGCCTACTGCGGCGGATGGGGCGAGAGGAAGAAAGTTCCCTTACGCGCTCTGCCTCCTTCTTTGCGAGCATCGCTGCGTAGCAGAAAGAAGACATGACGTCCCAGTTCCTCTCGCTACGTGCCATGGCTTCGACTAAGGCTGAACACGAGAGGTCACCGCCGCCAAACATTTTTGTTGGGAGACGGTTTTGCTCAGCCCAAGCTTGGCACTCTGCCACAATATGCTCTACCTTGTTATCCGGGTGGTCCTTACAATAACGACACCCTGGCATCCCTCCTGTCGGATCCGAAACAGGTACCTTCCTACGGAAGCTTCTATGTTCAGTAGGTAAGCGCCTACGCCAGGCGCAAAGTAGGGATGTCATGGCGTCTCTCTAGCCAATCCTCAAACATGAGTCTTACCACTGCTATAACAACGTGCCCAGCTCTCGGTTATGACAGATGCTGCTCTCACTCTGCCATGAGATCGCGCCGGGAGCTCATTTCGCGACGCACCATTTTAGCATGGCAGTGAAGTCTCACCCCGGCGACGCGCCTTCTCCTACTAGGAGAGCTTCTTCGTCATGATGAAGCTGATAAACATTAGGTACTTACATTTGACTTCAACATAGGCAGGTTGGAGATAACCTGCTGCAGTTTTTGTGGTGATTATGATTATGATGATTTTCCACCCAGCTTCTCTGACTGAGGTGGAAGGGAATGTTAAACTCTTACTGAAACCCCATACCGGCTACGAGCTGGGCTGGAGTAAACATCAGCCCTTTTGGGCCCCAACTGTGGTGGTCTGAACGCAAGGTGTACTGTCTATGACTAATTATCGATACTTTAGAACGGATGGCTAGTTAGGTTAGGTTATGTAAGGCTAAAAAGTTGTCTCAAGTGGTTCAATTTAACATAATAAACTTTTTGTCGTTAATCTACAAGGTTTACTATAGTATTTTTTGCAAATGCCAAGACAAGGTAAACACTCTCCAGGCGGTTGATGAACCCACTAGGTATTTACTATTACTCGCAAGAGGATTAACATAATAAAATCAAGTGTAGGAAATTCCTCGATATCTAATTATGTTTAAGGAGATTTCCCAATTCGTAGACTTTACCCTAGCACTTATTATGTACCGGATGAACTCAAATAATGACACGACCACTTGAAAATGGATAATTTTGTCATCATCTTGAAAATGATGAAGACTTGAATTTTTGATCTAAGTAATAGGTGTCAACGAAATAGTAAATGACGTTACCGGAGGTCCAAGTCCTCCAAAAAAGCCAGCAACGGACTTTGGCTTTGCGAAGTGTCCCCAGCACTGAACAGTTTTGATCAGTCTTTCAGTTCGTAATTATATTTCCACGGGCAAGCACTTCAACTCGTAACCGGTGTCAAACATAACATTTTAGCTTTTTTTGTTCGTTATTATCACACACAATTTATATATAAACGTTCTAGGTTTCAAATACAATAAAATGCGCACGGCTAAGAACCTGTCCTCATCAAATAAAAATTGCCAGATTTATTTTCGCACCAAGTCGCGTTGCGTCAAATATGCATGAAGTCACAGCATTTAACACCTGTGCGGATCTTCCATAAAATTCAATGTGCTATTGCGATTTTTTATTTTGCGTAATAAATTCGCACTTAAGGTAGGTATTTCGATGTTGAGACGGGCTCACGTTAAACCTTAGTAAGTATATATGTAGGTATATATGATTGTGCTTGGACAAAAACCACAATTTATCCAGTACCTAAATATCAAACCACAAGAATATCATCATAAAGTTCTACGCTACCACTTTGACCTGCAGTTAAAATCGAAAGCTTTAGTCATATAGTTAGTCATTGAATATAGCTCTGTGGAGTTAGGAGCGCCAACGGTGCCGGCCGTACCAGGCGTCAGGCGACTCGACTGGACTCAGAAATTCGGAATGTAACCGACCTTCAGATTATAGCTTAGGATTGGTCTAAGTGTCAAACTGAGCAAGTAATTGACAATAACGCTAATATTTTTATAAAATTAAACATGAAATATTGTCATCAAATATGTTATAAATAAGTCTCATGTCAAACTCTTAAAATAAATAATATATAATAATATTGTAAAGAGGTAAAATTTCTAAGTTTGTATTTTTGTAAGTTTGTATGTAGGGGGTAATCTTTGGAACCGCTGGGTGCATTCCCAAAATTCTTTTACTTATTGATAGCTACAATGTTCCCGAGTGCTATAGGCTATAAAACATTACGCTAAGTACAATCAAATGGAGCCGAGCAGCGAGTGAAACCGCGCGGGAGTAGCTAGTAAATAATAAATCTGAAAATTAGACACTTATCTCTTTCTTAACTTCTTCCGTCCCGCGTGGAGCGTGTAAGTTAGTAAATATTAGATTCTTACTGAATAAAACCAACCCCGTTTTATGTATTAATTTCAAATACTCTCGGGTACTCTCGGGCTAGGGTACCTACGTTAAATATTTACTCTCACAGGAAGCAAATTCGCTAACGCTCACGCTTTAAGCCATACGCAGAAACATAGGAAATTATTCAAATTGCACCAACCAGACATAAGAGCTTAAATATCGTTTACAAACTATTAAACAACTTATTTATAGTCAATTTGTCCAAAATTGTCTGACCTATGGCTGAACTAATTATACAGTTTTAGCTTTACCTACCTAATCTTTTGTTGTCGACAGACAGACAAATCGAGTTATAACTAGATTAGACGAACACCTGTTGATGCAGATATACATATTAATAATAATCCAAATTCAAAAACTTGTTTGTTTAAAAAAATCTTATTTAATGATGTTTCATATGCAATCAGTCTCAATTTCATGAAAATATCTAAATACCTTTATAAGTTTTTTAGTTCAAAATATTTAATGTGGTCTGGCCATTATTTGGTAAATTTTATTGTTTTTTCTTTATGCGGTAGGATGGGAAACGAGTTAATTAGGCAGTTATAGTCGATGCAATCCAGTGTAGAAGAAAGTATTACAGCAATAGTTAATCCGGGGTTGCGAGGTAAGCACAATGAGGCACCTCGACCTCGGCCCAGAGCAAGAAAGGAACAGGGGGGTTTTTAGTTAGAAAGACTCTGACACTCCCTCCCGCCCGACCCTGGGCAGGAGAAGTCATTTGATGATTTTCCCCTCACAAAAAAAGCAATACTTAATGGGCCCCACGTTTTTATTTTAGTCTAATCTGCCAAAAAGCTATTCTGTCTTTATAAAACTATAAAATTCTTATTTATTTCTGGTTTACACACTGTTTCTGGTTGCACATACCTAAAATAAAACTGTTTAACTTAAAAGTTTATCTATCGATTTTTTATTAGTCAGTAGGTAAACACTTGTTCAAATACCTTATTCTTACTAAAACTGTTATCAACGAAATATCTACGTGTACATTAGGTATACCTAAGTTTAACTAGGTATTCTCAATGATTCAGTATTCGGGCCCTGCCGTTACAAATTTCCCGTAATATAGGTAAATAACTAAATAGCTATTATTAAGTATACCCGTATCATAAGTATTAATCAAATAATACTCTTTCGGGTGGTAATTGTTTTATATGAACCGAATCTTTAGGCAAAAAAATATTTAATCACTAGATTAAGAGCTCTTTACTTACTTTTCCTTATATTTGTGTATATATTTATGTTTTCCTTATAAGTGTGGGAGAGCCATGCTTCGGCACGAATGGGTCGGCTCGACCGGAGTGATATCATAGCCTCACAGAAGACCGGCGTGAAACCAACCACGGCCAACCACAGCGTTATGTTTCGCCGTGTGTGTGAGGTTACCGGAGGCCCAATCCTTCTCCGCCCCCAATCCCTCCTCAATCCCTAAATCTCCAAATCCCTTATCCCTAACAGGTCGGCAACGCACTCGTAACTCCTCTGTTGCGGGTGTCCATGGGCGGCGCTGATTGCTTACCATCGGGTAATCCGTCTGCTCGTTTGCCGACCTATTACATAAAAAAAATGTACTTTATTCCTTTCGGCAATTGTACCTAAGCAGTAGGTATAAATATGGTGACCTGAGTATATGGGTGTTATTTTCTGTTAAAAAACTTTAGTTTGACAAGTCTGATGTTACTCAATTTGGGAAAAGAGGGGATTTTCCGACTTGGCGCAGTGCTTATTGCCTGGCGTTGCGTTCCACGCGCGCCTCAAAGAGCTTAAAGACCACTATAGGGCTGATATTCAGCCGCGGTTGCGGGGCAAGTGCAAAAAGGCACCGCGGCCTCGGCCCAAAGCAGGAGAAGAAACAGAAGGGGTTCTTAGTCAGTAAGAGTCTGACACTTCCTCTCTCATCACACTGGGCGGGAGAAAACATTTGATGATTTGCCTTTGACAAAAAAGAATATATTTTATCATTCACGGTGAGGAGTGTCACTAGCTCTTGTGTGTTCTCTACACACAAGAGCTAGTGTTAGACTGGCAACCTTAACAACATTAGTGTGCCTTGATTTAAAGGTAAAAACATGTTTTAATTCAGTTTCGGGTCTCTCTCGAAATAGTCCGAGGCCTCCACTACTCCGGGATTTGCACACGGCCAAAAAATCACATGTCTGCCACCTCACAATTTAGCTATTCAACGAAACGCAACGGTACTTAAATTTTCACACACAACCTAAAACACTGAGTCATCTCCATCTGATGTAAGCATCTTGAAACTGGGCTTTCTTATATTGGGGTTACTATAATAGTACCAGTACCACCCACAGAGTAAATTAAACAAAAAGTATTTACTTAAGTATCTACTTATTTGAATATTTTCCCGTGGCCTTGAGATTTTTTGTCCACTGTGCTTTTGTTGTTTTTAGGCTTTGTCATCATAGCTCTATTACCAATATCTTACTTTTTAGGTGCTTACAGTATGCGAAAGATTTGATGCTTTTAAGTTTGTTACTCAAACACGCCAAAACGGCTGGACGGATCTGGATAAAATTTGGCACAGGCATAGGATACACTACGGGCATAGGCTTAGACTTTTTATCAACATACCACGCGGACGAAGCCACGGGCGGAAGCTAGCGTAGAGTATATATCTATTATATCTATTCGTTGTATCGACTAATAATGTAATTAATCTAAGTAGGTAACCCATCCCAACAAAGGTAGCACAACAAACGAATACCTGAAATTTTCCTTTTCTGAGGAAATTCTTTTTTTACATAGAGGAATCAACAATAATCACCGCTCTTGCTCAAGGCTTGTTTTCGGATTTTGCTTCAGCTCTGCATAATGTGGTAACACTAAACTCTCTCTGTTCTCTCTCCTGACCCCTGTATAATAACTTCCAAAGCAGATTATCAACTGCAGCTTATGAATACCACTCATTTGAATCTACAATATCTATATGAAATATCATCATCATCATAAACCAATAAGTGTCTGTCTATCTTTAAGCCAAGATCTCTTCTCACACGGAGAAGATTTGATTAGATCACCACCAGACGTGCTTAATATAAGGACGACTGTCGATTTCTTATTAATATAACCACAGGTAATTTTTCCTCAAATGAAAGCTCAAAGACAAAGCTAAAAGACAAAATGTCTAAATAATTAAAAAGTACACTATAACAAGGAAAAAGTCATATCTGTACTTGTTAGGTTTCAAGCCCGCGTGCATGAGAAACGGACGCCTTAACCATCGGGCCACCATGACACACATTGTTATACTATGCTTAAACATATACCCACAAAAAGTGCATAATGAGACGATGCTATGGTACTTCAGAATACCTATGATATTTATTAGTTACAATTGACAGAGGCAACCTGAACAAACACAACCTACTTATTTAAAAGCTCTAGCCCCTACAACTCATTGTCACCCATTTTGTCCTAATTATCATAAAACAGCTAACAATATCAAAATAATAACGTTAAATATCAAACGTTCTTACACAATACCCCTCCCTCTCACCTCCCTCGTCCCTCTGGAGGTCGTCCTCCCCTCTCCGAGGACGGCGAAAGGCACTTTCACTCTTGGAATTTGGTTGGCATCTTATGACGTCATATTTGCGCAATTTGACGCAATGTAGACCAGATTTACGTATAAATTATTATTTTGAAAAATGTTTTTGTTAGAAATATTGTTTTGAGTTTTCGTAAACAATTGTTAACATCTGGAAGTCGGTTAGTTGTGTTGTGACGTGAATTTTAAGTAGATAGAATGAAGAAGTGCGCTTTATTTCAATTTTAACAAAATAAGTTTTGTTATGTAGAGTTTACATTGGAACTTTTATATGAGCAAGTACTTCAACAATTTCGTGTTTTGATAAGGCACAATTACAATGAATGAAAATTTTACTGATTACACGACTTTATATTAAGTTTCTGCCGAAAAACTTTATAAAAATCTACTTTGTGTTTTTCTAGGTACTTATACTTAGGTATATTGTTAGAAAGGCAAGTTATTGTACTCAGCTAGTACAAATGCATACCTAATAACCAAGAAAAAAGTATATAAGTGATGTCATATACTAGATTTGTAAACAGGAAAATAAAATAACACTTTAATGGCCATTAAATTTTATTGTGACATATAAAAAATTGATTCATAAAATCTACATTAGTTTGGTCCAATATAATCATAATTATAAAAATTTATAACGCTAACTGCGTTAACTTAAAAAATAATATTATAATAAATTTTATTATTTTCTTAGATCTATCCCGACACCAATATTGCAAATAATTTATATAATAACTATTTACAGATCGGCGGGACACCAAATTTACAAACAATTATACAATACAATTTTGTCCCCAATAAATTCTAATCGTCTATTTGGCACAAAATTACGAATTATTCAATTTCAAACCCAATTCAATTACATCTTATCGCACGAATCCTCCGCCATGATTATTTAAATATTAAATCTTAAATTAAATTATTATTGCAATACACGACGTAACTCGTCATTTTTTAAATTATTTTTAATATAAAAAAATACATCGACATTTATTTTTTCGTTGTTTTATATTTCATACAAAAATATTCAACATTTTTATTTATAAAACTTAGAACGAGAATAATCTCTTTTTTTAATCACTATGAGTACCGAACAATAGAGGGCACATTTTTCTTATTATTTACAGAATACTTAACTAACTAAAAGTTCATAGAACGTACTAGAAATATATCATAGATATATGGGATAAACATTACCAACTTTCGACGTAAACGATCTTACGTTAACTCGAGAACTATCAGATCGAAAGTCTAGTCGCTGGTAAAACTAATACATAACACAGCAAATAGTCCCATCCAATAGAATTCCAGAGAAAATTACCTTTCCCGAATTTTATGGAGGGATAGTGTAAAAGACGCCTATTAATTCCCGGCCTCACGACACACGTCGATACAAAGGACCGTAGAAAATTCGGCTGTCATCGAACTCGGCGACTGCGCTGCGATTTGCGATATAGCCGCAAAACGAAGCCAGCCATCGTACCGTCCGCATTACCGCGGCTCTCACACACCCTTATATACAACGTTAATAAATTATTTACATTACTTATAAACTAAAGAGTATTTATAAGCAATACGGATGACAGAACTGGTAGACGAGTCTTTGGCTCCTCTCTGTTTTCTTCATGATTCCCTTCTTGTAGTATTGTCTGATACTCCTGGACAGTTTGTCGTAGTTCATAGCAGGCCTGTTCTTTCTTTTGCCCCACAGTCTGGCAACACGCACTGAATCCTCAATCTTGAACACACCGTTACCTGTGGAACACGATTTGAATTAAACATTTGCTCAATAAAACAGAATCGTGACTTTTTATTTTGAGAAACATTACTCGTAAGTTTTTGAATTAATGTTTACATTGACAAGCAATTGATTGGCTGTATTTATTTGCAGTTGTATTAAAAAAGCCTACGTTATGGTTCGATCGCATATTAAAAAACTAAGTGCGTAAAGCAAGGGACTTATTTAAAATACACAACAAAATTGTACAACGCATTTTAATCCCATGCGACCGCTTGTTTTTCGACTTTTTGTCGCAAGCTTAATTCGTGACCTGATTTAATCTGATATACTTAAATTTAATTTTCTAACAAAATACGAGATTCTAAGAAGAGTTTAACAAACTCATTACTAGTGGTAACAAAAGATAATGGCACGTATTTTAGCAACAATGTTTCCTTTGATTTCTACTTTAAAAATATAACAGTGAAAGGTATTTTGAAATCAGAAAGTTCTATAACAAGAATCGAGTTCCATTTTTAGGCATCGACAATGAACATTTAATACTTTAGCGTACGTTTATATTAAAGAAATTAAGTAATGATGAAATACGTGTAAACAAGCTGTTATCAGTGAATTCAAGTGATGGAAATGTCATCTCTTCGTGCGTCACAACTTACAACTATAATAAAAACAAAAGGTTAATTAGTACTCTTCGAGAATATCAGTTCATATAGAATATTTATAACAAGACCTTTATATTATTATGATTTACACGTCACTAGACGGTAAAGAGACAGTTCTCATACCAATTATACCTGTACACAAAGTCGTGATAGAGAAACACAAACTAATGGGGATGTACGAACAATATTCGTGATCCGAAAAGGACAAAATAAAGGTATACATTCAAACAATAGCTGGCTATCGTCTGAACAAGTCACGAAACTAGATAACCTTTATTTAAAACGATTTTATTGAACAGATTGTAAATGGCTCGATCACCTTGGATCTGGAATGTCGCTCAAATGAATTTTCCATGCGTTAGTTTCGATAACTGATGCATTCGATTTAGATTACAATCGTGATGTGACTGTATCGAATTAAATTGAAAAATATACATATGAACCTGTATTTAAAAACATCTGTACCGTGTCAAATTTATTTCTTTATTTAGAAACTTGTGTTTTAGTAGAGTATCTAGCTTAATATCGAACTACATCGGATAGTAATAAAAGTAGTTTTAAATTAAATACAAAGTTAGAAGTACGTAGTTTTATTGCTAGGCAAGTACAATGTTATTCAGTACACGTTCCAAAGACTATTTTGTAGTGCGTTTAAAACCCACATGAATTTGTACTGAGTACAATTTAAACTCAAATGTAGTATGGTAAGTAAGCGAGTGAAAATATCGTTAATTTATTAATTTATTGTTCACTAATTTTCATCAACGATAAAAACGCTAATAAATAAAATGATAGATAAAATTAATAAAACAATATTTAATAAAACTTATATTGTTCCATATAAATTTTATGATTTGTAGTCTTGACCTCAAATTTAAACGACCAATCGGAAACGGTTATTGTAATAAAATAGCCAATGGCTGGCCACGCCTCGTTGTCCTACAACATTTAAAACAAAGGAGTTTCTTGATTCCGTGTTTGAACCAATTATATGTACTTAATGTTATCAGCGATTTATTGTGCAGAGAACAGGTCTGTAACAAAGGGTCGTTTCGAACATTTATCTTATTGTTCACATACTGGACTAACCAAACAGGTTTACTATAGATTTTTTTAGATCAGTCTCTTGGCTTTTAAATGACCGCCATATTGTTGTCTCTTATGTACTGAAGTTAAATTTGAATGAAATCTCTTTATAACTTACTACATGGTGGATTATAAGTTGAAAGAAACTTTGCTAATTTACTTTCAAAACATAATAATTCTATTAGTATTTAGATAAAAACACTACTGCACGATGTATTCTAAGATCTAAAGAAATATCTGTCTAAATATATATTTATATATTTTATCAAAAAAGTACCTATTTATAAAATATAAATAAATTAAAAATCACAATGACGGTATAAGATTTCCCGAGATAAATACTGCGTAATATTAATTATATATTATATGAAGTGAATGCATAAACATATACAATTTACGTTGTTGTTGCAATTAATCATTAACTAATTAACAAAGCTGACACTAATTAAGTAACAAACATACAATATTTATTACAATTTTATTGTTTACTTGACGACTAACCAAATCATGTAGAATTTACTAGGTTAAATTGTTTATGTTATTGGATAACTGTTTTTATTTGTCA